CTGAACCCTAGGTTTAAACTCCGGGTCTGAAACCAGGGCTGGACCCCGGGTCTAAACCACGAGCTGGACCCCGGGTCTAAACAACAGGTCTGGATCCTGGGCCTGAACCCCGGGTTTAAATCTCGCGTCTGTGCTCTGGGTTCGTGCGCAGAGCAGTCTGAGCACCAAATGAGGTCGTAAATTATCCGACCAAGCAAATTAACAACAGTATGCAAGTGTGATAAAATTTTTTAAAGGTTTTTCTAAATGTTGTATAATGATAAAAGAGAATTTCGTTAAAAAAAAATTATTCTCTAGAAAATTGTTGTTCATTTATCGGAACCCAAAGATAAAAGTCGAAATGTAAATTATATATAACGTCTAATATGATATATAGAGAAAATGTTTTATGGAGTGTCATACCATATTTTTTATATGCCTCCCAATTATTATTAATTTTACACAATGCATTAATTTTACACAATGCACATCGATATAGTATCTCTAGCAGCGTCTACATGATAGGATTGTATGCAAACCCCCTTCAAAAACCTATGCCTACCCCCCTAAAATGTTTCCCTATTTTTAATTTCGTTTTTTTTAAATTATAATGATACTTTATCACCAACTATCGACATTTTGTGAATATAAAGGAGTTATTTTTTAGATAATAAATTCAATTAAAACCCTATCATTTACAATGAATTCATATTATATGAGCTTGCTAAAAATGTCTAAACCTTTTAAATAACATTTGTAAGGATAGCAGAAAGTTTTATTTGGAAAATAATGTCTATGATTGTTTGCATTATTTTGGTTGATGAATTGTATATTTTCACAGCAATAAATATTGTCCTATTTGATCTCAAAATTTAGTAAATAACCCCCCCCCCCCAAAAAAAAAATTTCCTACCCCCATTAAACCGCTTACCCTTTACCCCCCTCCAAAAATGGGATGCAAGATTCTCCTACCCCCCTTTTCGTTCGACGCTGATCTCAAGGTCATTTAAAGATTTTGGCATTCCCTCTGTTTTCTTTTAGTATTTCAATAAATAAAAATAACTGCAAAGTGAAAATTAATTAAAAAAATTTCAAAATATTCTATTGGATAAGATAAATTTTTAATTTTTTATGAAGAAAAAGATAATTAACAAAATTATGGAAATAAATCATTTGATCTCCAGTTTATAATTGTTTAGCTTTTTGTTTTTGATTATATCACATATTTCATTAATATAAACTCTTTCTCTCTGTAATTCAAACTCCGTGGTTGTCTCAGATTATACTTTCCTAGCAGTAAAATTAAATATTATACAACCTTCATCTTCATAATCTTCCTTATATTTTATTTCAAAAATTATTATTTATATTATAATTTAATTTATTTTATTATAAATTTTATATCAATTTTATTTTCCTCGTAATCATTAGTTTTATATATCTATATTTCCAACAATTATTTTTTTTAAATATAATTTAAATTTTTATATCAAATCTTAAGGCCATGACCTAGGTCGACTTGTTATCAGGAATCCGGAGCGTACCGGAATACATAGCTAAACAATTATAAACATTAATAAATATCGGAACCGTAACTGAAACGATATAATTATTTTTTAAAGGATTAAAAAGAATTTTTATAAATCAAGTTAAACCGGTTTCAACCAAAATAAAATAAATAATTTTACATTTTTTCCGTTTAAATTCTTTACCTTGTGATTTAAATATTTTACTATATCGGCATCGTTTTAAGGTATCAATTCATTTTATAATTTTTAATTAACAAAATAATTATTATGTGTTAAAAATATGTATTAACTTTTTCACTATGACTTAAATTGATCCACAATCTTTTAACTGCTTCTTATAGTATTATAGCCATATTCCTATTTTAGTATACAAATATCTAAATAACCGATTAAATTTTTGATTTAGTTGCATTTGTTTAATTACAGTGAAACAAGTGTTATTATTAAATATACAATAAAAGAGAATTTAATATAATAAATATTGAAATTAAGGCAAGTCATTGAAACTAGGGGATATTTTTAATATTATTTTTTTAATCGTGTCGCTATTGGTGGAAGTTGTAATAATAATTTAAAGTTTCATTACTCAAAAATTTTAAGAATTGCATAACTTCTGTGAAAATTTTCACAATTCTTTAATACATTAAAAATGGCTTATACATTTTATTTATTTTTTTATGGATTCTACTAAGTTAGGACTATTAAATCAAATACTAGATAATTAAGCATTGAATAAACATAATATATAAACAATTATAATAAACAAAATAGTTCTACATAAATTTATATTTGACATATGTTTAATATTAAGAAAATAAAAATATATAAATGATAAAAAGATTTTCTTCCTGTTCTCCTTCCATATAGAATAGCAGCTTGAACATTTTGAGCATTTTACTCTATAAGATGCTGCATTTTTTCCAATTTAATGCTCTAATAACAACACGTGTGATTAATAAGAAGCTCTTGGTCTTTTAAAAAAGCCATGATTCTTGTATATGAAATTATGATCGCGGTAAAATTTATTTAATCCATAAGAAGGGGAAAAAATATTTTTATATTTAAAAAATTATATTATACTTTAAAATATTTATTTATTAAAAAATCTTCGGCTAATGCCCACAAAAAAATACACCAATAGCAACAAGATATCATATTTATTATTTTTTAATAAAATAATATTTATAAAAATAATATTAAAAATTTTACCTAGTTTCATTGGTATCGCGTCATTACAGAGAAACCATTACAGAGAAAACAATTATAGAGAAACTTTTACAGAGAAAACAATTATAGAGAATGTCGATTATAGAGAATGTCGATTATAGAGAATGATTTTACAGAGAATGATTTTATAGAGAATAATTTTATAGAGAATGATTTTAGAGAGAATGATTTAATAGAGAATGATTTTATAGAGAATAATTTTATAGAAAATGATTTTACAGAGAATGATTTTATAGAGAATTATTTTATAAAGAATGTATTTTATAGAGAATTATTTTATAAAGAATGTATTTTATAGAGAATTATTTTATAAAGAATGTATTTTATAGAGAATTATTTTATAAAGAATGTATTTTATAGAGAATTATTTTATAAAGAATGTATTTTATAGAGAATTATTTTATAAAGAATTTTACTTAAAGATATGATTATTTTATAAAAAAATGTTATATATAGTCATAGGGAAAAAAAGTTATAGTATTTTACATAATTTTAAATGTTAGAATTACCTTATATAAGCGAGGTTTTTCGATTATTAGATGAATTAATGGTAGAATAAAATTTTGACAGGATTTGTAAGGAATTTTACGAAATTTATTTTTAAAGATAAGTAAAAAATAAAATAGATAGTGTTGTTAAAAGTTATTTTGGCAATGTAATGCAATTAAGTTAGTAGTTAAATTTTATGAAAATATAACAAGTTACAGTTAATAATTTTCTTTTTTAAATATAACTAGCCACTAGTTACAATTATTTTTAGTGGATAGTAGATTCAGGGCTTGCCGGATCAATTAAATTAAGTTAAATCGAATATATTTATATAAATATAAATTCATTGGCAAGATTTAAATCATATAGTAAAAGAATGTTAAAAAAATTTACAAATTTAAATTTATTATTTAATTATATTTATTGAAATATATATAAATTAAGTAACCAGTTACTTTTGCGCGGATGCCTATTTCATATGTTTCAATGCATATGGCGCACGGTTCAAAAAAATCCGCTAATTTGAAATGCATACATAATCAAAACAAATTTTGCTATGTACATAAAAATGTTAATGTCACTGGCATATGTACCAATTGAGGATGTAATTCATGGATTTGAGGAATTATATGCCTCTGAATTTTATCAAGAAAATAGGGATATTCTCTCCCCCTTGATAGAATACATTGAGGAGACGTGGATTGGAAAAATGATAACGATAGAGAGGAAGTCGCCAATATTTAGCATTTCTCTATGGAATTGCTACGAATCGACACTATCTCGTGAACCGAATACAAATAATTCATTAGAGGACTGGCATAGAAGTTTTTCGTCTCATATAAGTTCCCATCATCCAACGATCTGGAAATTTATAAAGAGTTAGTAATTATATTATATTATATTATAAATTTTAGAATTTTAATTTTTAGCTCTCAAAGACGAAGATAGCCTGGATTGTTACAAATTGGAAAAATATTCTTTAGGACTATTGGCTCAACTTTCAAAGAAAGAATATCGCGAAAGATCCAAAAGGATTTTTCTAATTGTTGAAGATTTTTATTCGAGAACCATGCTGAATTATTTAAGGGCTTTATCCCATAATTTAAATTTAAATGTTTAATTTAATCATATAATTGTATTTTTTATATTGGTATATTACTTATACTATGTTTATTTGGATTTTTTATGAATAAAAATTTATTTGATATTTCGTAATGAATATTGCTAAGCACAGTATATTATCAAGGTTTATCTTATAAAAACTTCATATAAAATAGTATTAAACATATTCTTTAAGTCACATTGCCAAAGTAACTTTTAACAACACTATATATTTTATTTTGTATTCATATCTTTAAAAATAAATTTCGTAAAATTCCTTAAAAATCATGTCAAAATTTGTTTATCTCTTAGTGGCAAATAACTTTTAATTTAAGAATGGATTATCGGTGTGTCCCATCTATAATTGAAAATTTTTAGGAAGAATAATAATATAAGTAAGACTAAATAAATTTTGCTGAAGATAAAAAAAGCTTATAAATTAAAATTTCTACATTCGTTTTGTCAAATTAAGTGGTTGCCATTAATTAGCTACACTCTAGCTAAAAATATTTAAGTTACATTTACAAAATCGTAACTTTAGCTGGCTACATTTTTTAGAAAGTAACTGCCAAAGGTAACTAGTTACTTAATTTAATTAAATATAAATAAATAATAAATTTAAATTTATAAAAATTTTTTATATTCTTTTAGCATATGATTTTCCTTACAAATCATGTCAAAATTTTGTTCTACCATTCATTCATCTAATAATCAAAAAACCTTGTGCAAAAATAAACAAATAATTTTCTGTACCGATTGTAATAATTCAAAAACTACTCAATTATTCTCTTATATAAGGTAATTCTAATATATAATATTATGTCAAATACTGTAATTTTTTTTCCTATGACTATATATATTTTTTATAAAATATCATATTCTTAAATAAAATTCTTTATAAAATAATTCTCTATAAAATAATATTCTTTATAAAATAATTCTATAAAATACATTCATTATAAAATAATTCTCTATAAAATAATTCCCTATAAAATACATTCTTTATAAAATAATTCTATAAAATACATTCATTATAAAATAATTCTCTATAAAATACATTCTCTATAAAATAATTATCTGTAAAATCAATCTCCATAAAATCTCTGTAAAATCATTCTCTGTAAAATTATTCTCTATAAAATTATTCTCTATAAACAACATTCTCTATAATTGTTTTCTCTATAAGTGCATTCTCTATAAACGTCATTCTCTATATAAAACTTTCTCTATAAAATTTTCTCTATAAACGACATTCTCTATAATTGTTTTCTCTATAAGTGCATTCTCTATTTTTGTTTTCTCTATAAAAGTTTCTCTGTAAAATACATTCTCTGTAATGGTTTATCTGTAATGACGTGGAACCGTTTCATTGGCTTACCGAAATTAAATATGGACAAGCATGTGGATCCAACTAAGACTCCAATTACTTGGGATACGCCAACGGTTAATATTTTAAAGAAATCCGGTGCCGTGCGGATATGCGGAGATAGATTTTCGTTTAACAATCAACAAATATTTAGCGCTAGATAACCATTTACTACCAACTTTCGTCGACCTGACAAATAGGATCGCGGGTGGTAAAATATTTTCAACGATAGATTTAAGAGATGCATTTTTACAATTCAGAGTTAGTTCAAAATGTAGAGATCTTTTAGTAATTTCGACTCATGTCGGTTATTACCGATACCAAAGAATTCCTTCTGGGTTGACTAGCGCTCTGATAATATTTCAACGCTTTATGCAAAACCTATTAAAGGGAATTCCTATAGTTAGTGTATTTTTAGACGATGTAATTATTGCAGGCGAGAATAATTTTGATCATATAGTTAATCTAGAAGAAGTATTAAGAAGATTTTATAAGGCTGGACTGACAACGACGATCGATAAAATTAAAATTGGAGAAAAGTCAATTACTTATTTAGGTCATGTTATTGATGAATTCGGAATTCACCTGACCGAAGATAAGATTAATGCCATAAAAAATTGTAAAACACCGTCTAATGTTAAAGAATTACGTTCGTTTTTTGGGAATGGTAAATTATCATGAATCGTTTATTAAAAATTTATATTCTATTTGTGCGCCTTTACACCGACTAATGAGTAAAAATGTGAGTTGGTTTTGGTCAGCTAAAGAAGATGAAATATTTAATAGAGTAAAAAAATATTATCAAAAGATGATACAATAATTCCTTATTCAGCCGATATTCCTGTCGTGATTTCTTGTGACGCTTCCGAAGATGGTCTAAGAGCTGTTATTGCACACCGATTTCTTACTGGCCAGGAGAAACCGATTGCTTACGCATTGAGGATACTTTCGGCGGCTGAAAAGAATTACGCCACTATTGATGGGGAGGCTTCAGCGACATGTTCGCTATCGAGAAGTTTCATCAATATATTTATGGAAGACATTTTATTTTGGTTACAGATCATAAACCTTTAAAATATATCATAGGTGATAAAAGAGACCTAAATAAAATAACAAATAACCGTTTTACGGTGGGCAACGAAGCTTATAGTTTACGACTATGAGATAATTCATAGGCCGGGTATTCAAAACAGATACGCCGACTCTGTCCCGTTTGGGGGGTAGAGAGAGAAAAAAGTTAATGAAGCTTAAAAAAAATTGAAAATGAAATTAGAGAATTAAAGATCAATTTAATAGAGGATTTATCGTTCACTCGAAGCAAAGTTATAAGTGAGACGATCAATGATATAAATCTAAAAGAGATCATTAAATTAATAAAAAATCAATGGCATATTGATAATATGAATAATTATTCGGAAAGTTTAAAAAAATTCATCTTAATTAAAGATAATATTTCTTTCGAAGAATAGCTATTATTTTATAATGATAGAATCATCATTCCTGATAAACTAAAAAAAGAGGTTTTGAATTTTATCCATCAAGGACATCCGGGGATGGTGGGGATGAAATCCTTACGCAGATACTATGTCTTCTGGACAAATCTTGATCGGATGTTGTAGAATTCGTCAAAAACTGCAAAAGTTGTCAGGAAGGAAAACCGGGAGCCAGAGAAGTACCATTATACAAATGGAATATTCCTACCCGACCTTGGGAAAGAATACGCATTGGTTTGACAGGCCCGGTGTGTGGAAAGTACTGGTTAATTTTCGTAGACGCTTTCACCAAATGGGTTGAAGTTGCAATTTTAACACATATTAATTCGACGAGTGTAATAAATAATCTGCGTAATTATTTCGCTAGATTTGGTTTACCTCGTTACATTGTCTCAGATAATGGTACTCAGTTTACTGGATGTGAATTCAAACGTTTCTTTTTAAAAATAACATAAAACATTTTAGATCGGCCCCTTATAGTCCCAAATCGAATGGTTTGGTTGAGCGTTATATACGTACGATAAAGACACGCGTTTCTATGCTGGCAGGAGAAGTGGGACTCCGGACTAGTTAAATTTAGAGAATGTTTTAATTACACACCGAAATACTCAAAACGCAACTACCGGTAAATCCCCTGCCGAAATGATGTTTGGAAGGCCGCTCAGGACGACGTTAGATCAATGGAAATTACTACGAAAGAAAAGACTGAAAACGTGTTATGGAAACAATAAAATTATAATGATAGGAACGTTGAGCCAAAGAGAAGCAAAAGGTTTGGGTAAAAAACGAAAGGACTGTGGCATGAAGGGACAGTGGTTCAACGGAAAAGTGCGATATTGTATGATGTTGAGTCTGAGGGTATTATAAAAAACAAGCATGCCGACCAACTGAGGGAAGCTCATGTACAAGCTAAGGAAACACCCATAACAATGACTGAGGATTTGGACATTGCAGAACATAATAAATGCAACTCTAGAAAAAAGAGTTTCGAAACCCCCATTACGTTATTATGATGTATTCAATTTATAGTGGGGAGAACTGTAATGTATTTAAATAAATTGATTTTTATAATTGCTTAAAGCTACAATTTATTACAATTTATAAAAATAGAAAAACATATATATATATTTTATTATATGAAATAAATCACTTTATATTATTGTTCCGAATACATTTCACAATCAATTAAGATTAAACGCCATGTTTGAATATAAAAAGAAATTATGTTGGAAATTTAATTAAAAATAAAAAAATTAATATATTTATAAAATTTTTGTAATTCTTCTAAAGTAATAATTAAAAAAAAGTTTAATATAGGATTTTTATTATCCTATAGTAGTGCTGTAAACATTTCTAAAAAAATCGAACGCATTAGCGTTCAGTGTTCATTGACAAAAATCGAACGCGTTCACGTTCGTTCAAAATTATTTGATAAAATTTTTTTTAAATTTAATCTAATATAAATAAATGTCATATTTTTTAACACAATATATTAGCCATGTTAAATAATAATATAGTTTTATTTTAATTTACAATATAATTAGCAAAAAGATTGTTTTCTTAAAAAATTCGGATTAATATTAAATTTTTCAAATAAATAAAAATAAATAGTGTTTTTAAAATTGAACGAACGTTAAATTCGAAAGCGTTCTTCGTAAAAAAAGGAATCCGTTCACGTTCAAAGTTAGTCAAAAATAAAAGGAACGCCGTTCACTATTTTTTTCAAAAAAACGAACTTCGTTCACCAACGCATTCAAAATGAATGCGTTTGTTTACAACACTATCCAATAATAATACTAATTTTTACAATTTAAATGAAACTGAATGTTGTAAATGTTAGATTTAATTTGCATAAAGATTTCTTTTGGATTTTGTTGTACTTTATATGTAATTTGCATAAAGAATTCTTGTGGATTTATTGTTATAACGCGTGATAAAAAGATTATATTTGAATAGTTATGATTAGTTATAAGAAGATTGAAAAGAGTATAAAAAGGCAAATTTTTACGATACAAATAATCTTTGATTTTTTTTAAATTATTAACTTTTTTAATTATATTTTATTTTCTTTTCTTTTTTTTTTACTATTATAATTTTGTTAATTTGATAATGTTATAATTTTGAATAAAGAATTAAAGTTGATTTTATGATTTCGTGATTCCTAATTATTATTAATTTCCTTTTTATATATATATTTGTTTTCTATTTTTATATTTAGGTTTTGATGCACAATGACAAACCTGTCGTTGTGACACTGAAAACTCCCAATCTTCGTCTAGAATCCAAAGACCAACAAGAATACACAAATATTGGAATAAAGGAAAAATAGATATAGTTACAGTGTTATCAATGCCTGAAAAACGACAAATGATAATCAAAGACATCGCAAAATACGTTAATATGTCTACAGCATCGGTTCATAAATTTAGACGCAACACATTCCCAGAAATAAATGAAGATCCTCTAAAATAGTATAATATTCAAAAAAGAGGAAGTAAGAAAAAATTTTTCCCATATTTAATACATCCTTAGTTTATTAATGGAATATAACACTATCCAGGAGATAACAGAAAATTTGTCCCCTGGTAGTCCAAAAACGGTAATAACCATTAGTAAATATATCAAAATATAGGTTGGTCTAAAAAAGGAGCTGAGTATATCCTGAAACTGGAATAAACTTGCATGTTATACCAATCTACGCCTGGGCGTCATACAATGTCCGTCCAATAATAAAAATCCCATTCTCCAAGGGTAAAAATGTAAGTATACTTTGTACAATTGTAATTGGGGGGGGGGGGTAATCCATTAAAAAATAATCTAAGGAGTTTATAATGGGGTATTATACCATGATTCGATGACAGAGCTTATTAGTATCTTTCAACCAGATGCAATCATAGTAATGGATAATGCATCTATTCATAAAAGCCATCTTATCGATGCTTATAAAGGTAGAATTGAATAATCTACCACTACCATGATATTCACCTCAGCTAAATCCCATCGAAAATTTTTTTGGAGTCTTGAAAAAAATATTAAGAAATCAATCCTCACCCTAGATGAAGAAATTGTTGGGAATATTATTAAGCTCTTACATAATTTATTCCTTATGATTTAACTAACTTTTACAATCACATGAAGCTATTTAAGTTGGATTATCCCGGACAACTGATTAATTAGATAATCCTCATAATTGATTTGTATTAATAATTTTAATGTTAACTCTTTCTAAAAAGATACCATCATCGAGTTTGAGGAACTAATAGAACGATTTGATAATTTAATTTTTTTATATATATATTATTTTATCGAAATTAATATAAAAGTTTATAGTATTAATTATCATATTTTTATCGAAATAACTGGATACAAATAAGAGATTCTAAAAAAATTTCTATTAAAAAGACTTTTTACAAATATTTAGAATTTTAGATGAAATTTAATCAAAAATCTTACTCGAGCATTCTCAAAAAGATCAAAAAAAAATTTCATTTTTCACATATTATATATTTACAACATAATTTCTTTAATCATAATTAATTGCTTGTCCATATTTGATTTCAATATGTATTAAATTAAAATCTACTTAATTTACCCCTTTTATTGTATATTTAATAATGATACTCGTTTCACTTTATTTTATAAAATCATTACCAATACATTAGTAGTTTGAATAGAAGGGTCATTTATCCCATATAAATTTTAAGATAACCAAATATATAAGGTTTTAATTTTATAAATTGTCTAGAGAAATTTGGCATTTGAATATTTTAAAGCATTAGATAACCTTTATTATGAAAAATAGATTTTGTGTTTTCTTAAAATACAAATATTTGCAAAGTTATGCTTCAATAAAATAATTTCAAATTTTTGTAAATAACCACAATGAACCTTTATAAGCCTTTACAATTAGATTAGCCTAACCTTTATAAATTTTTTCTTAAGACCGTGACAGAACCATAAACATTATGAATTTTTATATACTTGAACCGATATAAATAAAGGTTCGGGTCCCTGCTCATTACATAATACTAGGCCAGATTTAGTAATTATTGATCTAGGACATGGCATAAATGCTTAAAATTTATATTTTTTTATAAAGATTTTATACATAATATTTTATCATTAATTTATATTTGAATTTATGTAATAGAAATAAATAATTTATATTCACTAGTCCTAATAATTCTTTGAAACTTAAGATATCTTTAAATAAGTCCTTGAATAATTTTAAAAAACAATTACTCCCTCCCCCCCTCCCCATAGTGAATTCCTATGTACGCGATTAAAATGTTTTAAAAAACAATGCGATATACAGGGTTGCCAGGTCAAAATTTTCAAATTGCGGAAGAAATTTGGTATTATGTGGGAGAAATATGAAAATTGCGGTAGAAATATAAAAATTGCTAAAAAAAATATTTTTCGGGCCTATCCGCCTATTATTTTTTATAATTAGTTTATTTATATAAATACAAAGTCGGTAACTAATTTTCAAAATAAAATAACATCTTGATTTATTAAAATATATTAATTTATAAAAAAACCAACGATCTTTTTTAAATATAAAAGAATGTAAACAAGATAAAATTTTATAAAAAAAACGATTTTAATTTTATTTTAAAAATATATTATCTGCGAATGTCCCGCAAAACTACCGCAATTGGAAATCTACCGTGTGTGTGTGTGTAACATTATAGGGATAGGCGCTTAATTATCACTTATCACGTTTAAATACATAATAAGGTACTCCAAAAATAAGAAATAATACAGATGCAACTACAGTTGCGGCAATTGTAATCACTTACAGTGTTGTTATGATTTAATGAAACATATTGACGATTAAATTAAAACCCATCCATATAAAATTATAATCTTTGCAAAAATAATTAAAATAACAATAAATAAAAGAAATTTCAATAATTATTTTAAATTATTTTTGCAAAGATTATAATTTTATATGGATGGGTTTTAATTTAATCGTCAATATGTTTCATTAAATTATCACAACACTGTATCTTGTAGTACAACCTTCACCGAGATAATTATCATCACAATGTTGGTAGAATCTTATTACCATAATATTTAACAACTCTAATATAAATGAAAACTATACTTGTAGAACAAAAATGAGCAAGGCTATCATCAATGTTTTAGGACCTAAATCCAGGAGGTCAATTCTTGACGATTTGAAAGATGGGCATATATATGCAATTCTAACAGATGCATCTAATAAGGGAAAGATTAAAATATTTCCCTTGATCCTCCGCTATTTCAACAAAATTAAGGTCGTTTCAATAAAACTATCATATTTTTTCCCCTCAAATAGTGAAAAACCCAAAGACATGGCTAATCATATAATGTTAAATATAGCAGATTCGAGATAAATTGTAAGTCAGCTTTCTGATTTGATAATGCCTCAGTGAATTTGGTAAAAACAGAGTGTATTTACAGAATTGAGTCAGCATAATGTTGGTTGCGATATGTTCCTAATACCCGCCATCGTAGAATTTTAAAATTTTATAAACCGTTAAAAAAATATTTCTTAAATAAAGATTATAAAAGCTGTCCTAAAATTTTGAAAATTTTTTTAATAATGAATGGCAGAGGTATATTTAGGAATGATTTCCCATGTAGGAAATCTACTACATGCTGTTAATGTGTAGTTGCAATCAGAAGAATCTTAAGAAAGATTCACAAAATTATGCTGCAGATGTGTTCATCTTTACAGTTAATAATTGAGAATAAATTTTATGGCGCCATTGCTAAAACTTAATTATATTTTATTTGAGATTTTTAAATAATAGAACTAAATGTTTACATAGAGATATTTATAAAATTCCTGGCATGACATATTATATATTTGTTTAACCATTAGCTCGGCCTTTAATGTTGTTAAAGCAATCCGATTTCTCTCCTTTTTCCAGGCAGTCCTCATCAGGCTAAAAATGCGCTCGGATGAGGCATTAGAATGAGGTAAGGAGAAGACATACTCGCATATTTTTCAAAGCATGGGGATTTATCGTTATTACGAAAAAATTCTACCCATTTCTCCTCTGCTTTTAGGCCATCTAACTAAGTATTCTGGCGTATCATAAAAAATAGAGAGAATTACAAACTCCTCAAACAAGACATCAATGTCTTTCGGTATTTTTAATAATTTATTAAATTATAAAAACAATCAATTGATGGTTTCTGTTCCAAAGTCATAATATTTATACATTTGTAAATAGAGTTATTAAAATCAAATTTTGATTGTAAATATTCTAAAATTGTCTTAATAAAAATATCTGCTTCATATAAAAATGTATTAATTAGAGTATTATTTGAACATTTTAATATAATATTTTTAGCAATAGCGCTATAAAATTTATTATCAATTTTTAACTGTAGAGATGAACAGAGCTATAGCATGATTTTGTGAATCTTTTTTAATAAAGAATATTCTGATTGCAACTGAATATTAACTTCATGAAGTAGATTTCCTACATGTGAAACGAATCCCAAATATGCTTCTGCCATTTCATACTCGAAAAAATTTTTCAAAAATTTAGGACAGCTTTTAAAATCTCTATTTAAGAAGTATTTTTTTAAGGGTTTGTAAAATTTTAAAATTCTATCGATGGCAGGTATTAATGATAACCACCTGATAGGTATATATCGCAACAACTCACACCATTTCAAGTCAATCAACTCTTTTAATTTATTAACTCTTTTAGTTGATGAACTAAATTCTTTAAAACATTTCATCACAATTATTTCAACATTCACAGATAGTACATTCATTGCCTTCTTGCAAGAATTATGTAGTATATGGCATATACAGCCAATTGGCATTAATTCATTATTGTGCTGCCCCAATTCGGTAACTTTGGTTTTTACCAAAATTTACAGAAGCATTATCAGCGCAGAAAGCTGTCATGTAAATCATTGATAACCCTGAATCAGCTATATTTACCATTATGTGGCTAGCTACATTGTTGGATTTTTTACTATCCGAGTAAAAAATAACAGTTTTATTTAAATGTTCTTATTCTTGTTGAAATAGCGAAGGATCGAGGGAAATGTTTTAATATTTCCCTTATTGGATGCATCTGTTAGAATTGCATATAGATGCCAATATTTCAAATCGTCTAGAATTGACCTCTAGGATTCAGATACTAAAACACTTGTGATAGCCTTGCTCATTTTTGTTCTGCCACAAGTAAGGTTTGCACTTATATGGAGTCGTTAATATCATGAGAAAAAGATTAGACCCACATTGTGATGATATAGCTCTGTGAATGTTGAACCATGATAGTGTATACGATTTCCGCAAATGTAGTTACATCTGTATTATTTATTATTTTTGAGAATAATTTTGTATTGCAATCGATGTTGATATACACCCCTGTACTGACTTATATGAATGAAAGATTTATTATTGGATAAAAATAAAACAAGGATAGAAAGAAATTTACAAACTAGACATGTTTTTCTAATAAATATTTACTATTTTAAAAATATAAAAATAATCAATTAATGTCTCTCAAAATTATTATTTATATATTAAAAGCGTTATAATACTATAAAAAAATATAGCGGGTGAAATTAAAAAATTGCGGTAGATTTCCAATTGCGATAGTTTTGCTGGAGAGAGATGTCTGCGTGTAAACTAAAAAATTGCGGGAGTCTCCCGCTGATGGGGGGAGACATGGCAACCCTGGCGATATACAGTTAACAATTTAATTTCCAATATTAGGGCGACAAAGTCAGTCCAAACAAAAGGCCCTGAAATGTATAGAGTCAAACTCTATTAAATTTTACACAATCAATCCCATGATTCTTTAGTTTTTTACTTATTTAAAAACGTAAATCAAATTATTTGAAAAGTTAGCTCTGGTTATTTAACACATGGTCCAAATCAATCACATCGTATTGAAGTGGGGGGAGGAGTGTTATATTTTAACTAAACAATTAACAGATATGAAAGAATCTCTATTAACAATTTTTTGATTAAACTATTCGAAATTCAATTATAAAAATAAATTAGAAGTCAAAAGAATTTTATATTGGTCAAACCATATCTTAAAACCAAAGTGAGATTCTTTTCAAAAATTTTTACATTAATTATATTCCTATATTTGCGAAATAGCAATAGTAAATGTTATTTGAAAGAATCTATTTAAGATCGAAAAAATGTAAACAAATCATTCTAAAAAAATAATAATATAAATGGGTTTAATTTTTTTGTTCTAAAAATTTCGGGACGGGCAAGGCTAAAAATTGAGGCCAAGCACCGGCTTATACGAAGATAAAAATATAGGCCTGGAAAAATTTATTTGCAGGGTTCTAATATCAAGTCAACAGTCAAAATTATCTTAATTTTTATATCATAACCAAATATATTCTTATTCCACATATAATAAAAAATATTTTGACATATAATACAATAGTTAATATTATATACTATTATAAATAATAAATAGAATATTTTATAATATATTGCAAATATTTTCTCAATGGTTGGAATTTGTTTAGTTTTCCTAATTTCCAACAATCAGCTTTCGACATCTGAGTCTTGTGGTTGTTCCTTCTGGTAGATTTATAAATATAAAAAAATGTTTTTAAAAATAGCTTGTTGAGTAATAGATTAATCTTACTTACAATAATATATATTTTTTATTATTTTGCCCCTAGGGTTATCATTTTATATGTCCAGTTTTCTTTTAAGTCCATCATTTTATTTGTAAATTACATTATATTTTTGTGTTTACTTAGTTTGTATATTTGAGCTTCTAAATCTTAAGAATCTTTTTGGTTGTAATAATACAAATATAATAAATATTATTCTTTTAAGTCAGGACATGAACCAAAACAAATATTGTTTCGGGTTCATAGGTTTTAATAAGTCTATAAATATACAGTGTTGTGATTATTTAATGAAACATATTGACGATTAAATTAAAACTCATCTTTATAAAATTATTTTCTTTGAAAAAATAATTCAAATAACAAAAGGGGTAATAAAAGAATTTTCAATAATGCTTTGTCTATATATTAATTATTTTTGCAAAGAAAATAATTTTATATGGATGGGTTTTAATTTAATCGTCAACATGTTTCATATCATAAATGGCTTTCACTCAAAAGGATCTACCTAAATAACTATTAGAGATATAGCTTTATTTTATAAATTAATGTTTGGTTTGCATATTCATATTAAATTTATTTAATTTAAAAACAGTTTTTTAATCGTTTATCTGCCTCGAGCAAAAACATTGCTATCCCCGGTCTCCCCTATATAAATTTGCTTGCTTTAAGAAAAAATGATTATTTTTAACTATAAAATATTTCTATAAAAAAATAAAAATTACCTAAGCTACCTAAATATCTCATAAATATAAACAAAAAAATTGATGAAAAAAATTAATATCAATTTTTTGTCATCTACAGAGGAAACTTATTCTCTTCTTTATGTAGTCAAGGGGAGGTGGGTATCATCTCTATAATATAAAGTTAAGTATATTGCAAATTTAAATGTATATATTTTTTTTAACAAGAGTTTGAAGCCTAAGCTAAAATGGGTTTGTTTCAGTTCCGAATATTTTAAAAAAAAAGTTGTTCTGGATCCTAAAATTTTGAAAAAGGGGTTCTGGTGATTTTTACTTTTGTCGCGGTTCCGAGGGGGAAAAAATCCACACAAATTTAAAACATATTTCCACATTTAAAAATAAATAGAATATCTTGTAAATATTAAATTTATCATTTATAAAACTTGGAGATTCTCATATGAACAATATCATAGCAATATGTACTATGATGATGCTAAAAAATTTCTAACTTTCTTTGGTTTATTTATATGCTGCTATTCTAATTATTTTTCTAAAATAATTTGGTAAGACCTGCATTAACTCATTTATTCGTTAAATTTATGCTCCTTATTGCTTCGTAATGGTGATAAATTGAGCACCCTTATAACCAAATTCTTTGTCGAAATTATAAAATAAAGTGTGTTTATTTATTGTTTTTTTAAAAAAGAGTGTTTATTATTTAAAAAATAAATCTAATGGGCTCAATAATATTGCCCAAATTAGCATGATATACCTAGATTTAAAGTTAAATTTAATATGATTGTAAAAATAACTGAATTTCAGAAGTCACATGATAGTTTCCAAGTTTTATTTAGATATTATATCTATTTAGTCTAAAAAGATAGGACGAGAGCAGGATACTTAACTTCATTTAATTTCTTTATATTTGTGCAATTATCTGTGTTCACTTGATAAGCATTCTCGTTTTCTTCATCCGAAATGCTATTTAGTGCACCTTTATTTTTGTTGGAATTTGATTGTAATTGTTTTTTTGCTTGATTATTGGTATTCATTAACACACTTTATAAAAAAAATACAAAATATTTTTAAAAAGTAATTAATACCAATTAAGTCTTTTCAAGTCTTTAACTATATCCATTGCATCTTTATACCGAATTTCTGAATTCTTAGATATATTCTCCATAGATACCAATAAATTTTGGATTTGATTTCTAAGTCTATGTTCTCTCGAAAGCGCATGTTTTAAAACGTCACCTTTTGTACCATTATCTGCCTTCATCATATCCTTTATATGTTTTGATTATAATGATTATTTTAATATATAAATAAATACATCTTGAATTCCTCGAATATCGGACTCTAAGGAATTTATATGACTTTTAAGTGATTTCTCCATATCATTTTTAATAATCAATCGTATATCTAGCAAATTTTTTTCTTTCTCGACATAATATTTTTCCTCTTTTACATAACTTAATTGTTCCTATAATAAATGTGACACTAATTATAGAGTAAGTTTTTATATAAATAATACTTTAACAGATGCAATTTCTTGGAAAATTATTGCATTTTCTAAAAGTAAATCACAATTAATCTCGTTATTTTTAATATCTTCCATAATGGTAGATTCATTTAACTTTGCTATGTTTTGAGTATAATTATTATAATCCATATCTAATATCAAATTGTCTATAAAGCCGTTTAAGGATGCTTTTTCGATATCTCTCAACTTTTCATATTCTAAATCAGTATCACTATTGTGTGCCGTTTTATCATAAAATTTGATATTATCTTTATTATTAGATATACAATTCTTATAGCATGACTCTATGATATTATTAATTGATTCATCGGAGCAATGAGAGTTATATTTTAAACTTTGTGTTATATCATTTCTCCGTAATTGTAGCATGTTTATAAATGTTTTAAGCAATTGATAGTGAAATTTATTAAAATGGAAGTTCTGAGTAGAGTTAATATTATTATAATTATATTCACAAACACTGATCCCACTACTAGAATCATGGGATGTTAGACTATTTGAAGTATATGAAGAATTTGATGGCGAGAGATGATCGTAATATTTATCTTCCAAATTATTTTTAGATTGTACTATCTTAGATTTTTCAAATAAAGAGAGAATTTGAGAAATAAATTTAAGGTGTTTTAACCCTTCATTTTTAACCAAATGGTTAATTTGTCTTTCAAGGTAGGATAAAAGAACCAATATATTGGCTTCTGCTGCTAAATTTCTACTCAAATTTGTTTCGTTTGATGTATAAGGAGTTGAATATTCGGGTTCATTTTTCGATGATAATTCATCTTCATAACAATTTTCACATGAATTGTAAGCGGATTCTGATTTAATACCATCTATTTATTTAAAAGTTTTGTTTTATATTATTAATTATAAAAAATATAACTCACCCAATCTAGTTCCATCATTATTACCAAATTCTTTAACGCTTAATAACACTTCGTATAACAAATTGATTTGCATGGTTAGGTGTAGAGCCATTTTAAATCCTATCGTACGATGTTCTTCTATATTTAATTTTATCCATAATTCCTCAGCCGTCGTCTTATCCTCGCCTAATTGTATATTCATAACTTCAATTTGGCTTTTCAAACGGTTTACGGCGGCTCGAAGTGATTCAGCTTCAATAAACTTTTTTTCAGTAGCTAATTTAACTAACGCCTGCTTGTTTATGTCAAGTTTTGGAGTTTCGTTTGGGTTACTAGGTAAATTTTCGACATTCGTTATATGAGTGGATGATTTTCCGCTAATTGTTGATAAATAGCATGATGCGGTGCGGTACATTTGATTCCACTCGGCTTTAGCCAAAAGAGGATGAATTAAATATTCCTTAAGCATGGGGTGACATACCTTTTTTTAGTTAGGAAAATTAACATGTATTTATCAATCGATATTTTGAGATAATTTTTAATGTTATCTTTTAAAGATTTAAATATATATACCTTTCGGGGGAACAATTCCATGTGGAATGATTTTCCAATATAAGGCGCAAATTTCTCTATTTTGACTTTTTCGGCATATTCTGTGGATGTTATATCTTTATCAATCTCATTTTTACTAAGATAAGTTGGAATAGGTTTCTTTAAAACTGGAACCAACTAAAAATATAGATATATTATTTTAAATAAAAATATAATTTATAAAACATTGTTAAGTGCTTGACCACGACTATGAATAGATTTGCTAATTCGTTTGTATTTTTCTAATTCACATTCTGTTTTGGTAAATTGTGATTTTAATGTTAATAATTCTTCTTTCAGGTTAATATTTTCTTCTTTTAATTTTATGAGTTGTGTGAATTCTTCGAATTGATTGTTAACATTATGATTCAATTTTTCCCGGTTTAAATTTTTTGTGGGAACCTTACGGCTTACGTTATCATTAATTTGAATTACCTAAAAATTTATTTATTTATACAAAATTTATTATTTTACATGTTCATTGTTAATATTTTCAGTTAAATCAATGTTACTCGGATTTGCATTATGAATGATTCCTCTTTTAAATATTCTAAAATTTAACAAAGGTATTATTATTTCATATTTAATATACAATTTGTTTTACTTGTTAATTTGTGATTTTTGGTTTTCATATCTTCCATTATTATAGAGGGGAGTGTTCGTGTATTTCGGAGAAGTTTTAATTCGACATCTTTCCATATTTTTATAAGGAACCTATACAAAAATTAAGATTATAAATTGTTGCAATCGGCACAACAAATTTATTTATAAATGTTAGGTAAAAAATTTATAGAAGAATTTAAGTCTCTTTTGATAATTATAGTAAAAAATAAGCATAAAAGAAATTATTACTTTAGTAATTTGACAATCATTTTTTTATGCATGAATGTAAAACACAATAAAATTTTATAATGATTGCACACTTTTAAAATAAATTGAAGTACGGGTATACAAATTTAATTATTATATGTATAAATATAAAATATATATATAAATTTTCCCATGTTTTGACAATAATGACCTATAAATCAATAATTTTCCATATGAATGATGATTATTCAAGGATATTCATCCTATAATATTATATTATCTTGCATATTGCTAAAAAAAATTTAATATTAAATAAACTTAACATTGATCAAGAATTCATTATAGAAGCCTTTTTTTAAATTTTATTTCTATCTAATCTAAGAGTAGAACAGTTTAATTATAATGAAGTAAGGTTAAAATGTTTTATGAAGTTTGAATGATAAATTAAGTTATAAATAATAGAGCAAACCTTTATTTTTTTTAATTTGGAAGATTTACATCATTTATATACTATAAGATGATTAATGTCTAAACTGATCCCTACCAATCAACCCTCTAAAAGTTAGATACTATTTAAGCCAATTTTGTGCTGAAAATTGTTATATCCTCTTGCAAATATATTAAATACGTTAATAATTTATCATAAAAATTGTTAGCTTACTATTTTTTATAATAAATATATATTTTAAAAAGTTGCCCCTCGTGCTTCTTTATTTTTCCAGACTGATATTTTATACAATTTCGTTCGATTCTAAGAAATATTTTGTATTTTTGGTGATCTTTTTTTAAAAAAAGAAAGTAATCATTATCCCATATCAAATTCATAATTTTTATTTTATTATCATTGGCGTTATTTGTTACATTTTTTAAAATTCTTCAAATTTTAATTTTCTAAATTAAAATAAGTTTAAAAAATTTGTGAAAAAAAGCCAATTAATAGTATTGTGTTTACAGGCTTGGAGGTAAACAAAATAGCACTTTATAATATTATATATTTTAAAATTTTATTAGGTTACATGTATTTTAATGAATTTTTAATATAGATATCGGGGTTATCAATAGTGCCGGGGTTGCCTAATGGGTTAGATGTATGCTTGGAAACAGAAGGACGCAGGTTCAATCCTGGTAAAGAGCATAAAAACTTTCAAGTTTTTTTTCGATGACTGACGTGTTGAATTTCGGAGCTTAGAGATGACACCCCGGTCACCGACAGACTTGGACAGCCGGGTGCTAAGGATACTTGTCCAATAAACAAAATGAAGGAAATAAATGAAAATATGAAAGCTAGGGCGTTCCCTCCAAGCGACGCGCAGGGTGAAGACCTCCATCCTGCGAAAAGTAAAATAAAGGTCAAAGCAAAGAAGACAAGGTTAGCAAGTTTGAATATTGAGACACTTAAAGGTAAAACGAGAGAATTGGCATCAATGTTGAACAAGAGAAAAGTTGATAGAGCGTGCATATAAGAGACGAAATGGAAAGGTCATTATACTTTAATGATTGAAGATGGGTATAAATTGTATCCGAACCTTTTTGGATTTTTAATACTAGGTCCAAAATGTTATTTTAAACAACTTAAGTAAAACAATTTTATTTAAAAAATATAATTAAGAATGTGGACTGTTTATTGGTGAAGAAATATTTATGTTATAGATTTAACTTGAAATTAATCAACTATACTTTGATACATTTTTTTATTCCAATTGCATAAAAATTACACAATAATTAAAGGTATAATTTTATTAGTAATCGAATATATCATTTTTTGTTACTTATGAGACGGGGGATGTCTTTCGTGGGAAAATAATACTTTTTTATTATATTTTTAAAAAGAACTAAATTTATTGATGTAGGCAATACAAAATAACGTGTCCAGTTGGCAAATCAAAAAAGTATAATTATACAATGAACATCCATTCTTTATTTTAATAATTAATGATTAATTATACCGCCTTAAATAGTAATTACTATATGGGAAAGTGAGTAGGGAAAATATATAAAAATATAACGAGATTACTATACAATATATTTCTTATCATTAATGAAAGTTAATATTAATTTTTTTAAACTTTTATATTATAAGAAAAGTTAAAAGTATGTATAATGTACATATTATAAAGACACGCGTTAATTTTTATAATAGTATTTTATGGATTTCATAATATCTTAAAGTCGCATTTTAAAAAACTTAGTTAATTTAAAGTTACGTTCATATATAGTTTTTTTTTGAATTACATTTTAATGTCTTGTCTTGTTGTCTGTCATTTTAAAAATTTTGCATATAGATTATACATATGTACATACCATTCTAATTATTAGTTGAAATTATTATGTTTATCAAGATAAGTCTTGATTAATCATGCACAAAAACAAAAGGAAATATTCTAGGGGTTTAGAAGGGAGAGCTAAGAAAGCACACATTTTTCATCTTTATTAATATTTTTATATTACCCATTATAGCGAGTTTATCAATAGAAATATAATAAAAACATATGTGAAAATAAAATTTATTAGCATTATAAATCCATCTGCAATAAAACATATTTTAGAAAATGATAAAATAAAATTTAATCTTAAGATGGAATAAATTATTAAAAATTAGTTAATAACTAAATCTCAATCGTGCTACAAAAAATGTTTATCATTTAAAATGGTTTTCTAGACCTCATTCTTACTTCAAAATGATTTTATCATATAAAACAGTTAATTCTTCAATAAATAACAAAAATCTTTAAATATTTTTGAATATATTATTTGACCCATTTTCAGAGACCAGATCTGAACGGTTATCCATTAATTAGGATTAGATTGCGGCTCATGGGCAAAATATTAAAAAAATTCCAAGTCGGGTAAGATTTAGATGCTTAAAATTAAAAAGATTTGGATACGATTTACCGGTTGGGTTATAGTTTAAGTTTTCAAGTTTTAAAATTCCTCTAATATATCTAATATTTCTTAAATATGAACACATGCAACTTGGTTATATTTGATTTGGTATACGAGCATGTAAAAATTTTTGAAGAGGGTCATTAGATTGAAGCATTTGGACTTTATTTTTAATAATAGGCATTTAATTTGATCTGCATAACGAAAAAGTAAAATTAGTAAAAGTAGTATCAATTAAAGATTTACCTATCTATCTGTAATCTTCAAAATGAAAAATCAATTCACTCTAAATAGAAAATGAATAAATGAAGTGAAAAGTGTGAATGTATACAAGTTATTAAAATATTATCGTTATATGAAAAAAAAACTTCCCGTGGAAATTTCACTTATATATATTTGGCTACAATTATTATTATAAAACAAAACGGCTTTATATATTTAGATACGGTTCGTAACTTTTAATGATTTGATAAGGTTCGATGGTTAAGTTTTAGAAAATTATAAATCTTCATTTCGGTATAAAGGTTCGGTCAGGGTCTTCAAACTTTTATTTGCCAATGTAGAAGATTTACATTTTCTAAGAGTAAACTGCTATAATTTTTAAAAACTACCAATGCTATAATTGATAATATTGTGGTATAGGGTTTAGACAGGGTTCCCAGATGTTCTCATTCGAGGTTTGGAGCTTTTCTTTTATAGTGGTTTTTGAGGGCTTGCACTGTATACAATTCTGAATAACACGTGAAAACTATACATTTATCATAATAAACTGATAAGGCACTATAGACAAAAAAAATTAAAAGAAAAAATAGTTTGTCCTATTTATGCTTATTGTACTCCCGAGGGCAGCAAAAATGTTAACAAAAATATCATATTATAATTAGGTTGTTAAAAGCCCGATTTGAGTCGAGTTTTTAAAACGACCCGATTAAGTTTTTAGCCAAATAATTTTATGTAAGCTGAAGATTTGGCAAATAGAGGTCACAACCTTTCCGCCATCTATAAGCAACTTCAGGCTTACATAATACTATTATAGCTAAACTCTTAATCGGGTCGTTTTTAAAAAATCAACTCGAATCGGACTTTTTAATAACTCTAATTACGATGGGTATAAATAAATAGGGCAAACTCTTAAGACTTCATGGTCAATTTTTTTTTGCTGTGATGATCGATAATATAAGTCCATGAATAAAACATAGAAATAATAACGTACAATATTTTTGAGTTTTTCTATAGTTATCCACTTGGACAAATCAAAATACGATCCTCTATATTTAACACTTTATCAAGAAAGGACAATAATCATATTATTTGACCAGTTCAACAAGAGTAAGGCGAGGATTAATATTCTTATTCATAGTATAATAAGATATGAATATTTTTCATTTATATCAAAGAGAAAAATCGACTATATAATATACCTATACCATACCAATCATGATTTTTTTTTAAATAAAATAAACGGAGTGTTAGCAAAAAGAAGAGAAAAATTATTCCATAAATTACGCATTCAAACATTAATTATACTCAAAAAAAAAAATTTTTAATATTCATATCATATCCACGCGATAATGTCGACTAAGAAAAATGAACGAGGAATCGAGATAACAAAAATGACTTTTTTTATAAACAAAAAATACAATAAAATGTATCGTATAATAAATAATCGTGTCTAATATATAATCATAATCACTAATTCAAACTTCATTATATAGCCATAAATAAATCTCTCCTTTTCAACGACACCAAATAACATTTAATAAAAATGAAATTGCTTGTGTCTCCTCTAATATTTGCATAAATTGAAGAGTTTTTTTTTAAAATATTATTTATTATATTTTTTAAATAAAATATTTTATATTCCAATGATATTTCATATGAGAGGGCATAATATGAATTAATATAATATATTATATTAATGATTCTATCATACATATTTTTGGAAAGATAAATCAAAATCTTCTATTTAATATTATCGGGAACCAGATTGAATGAGACTCTTAATTTATTCTCAATCCAAATTAACCTTAATGAAAATATTTTTTTATAGAAAAATAATTTATAGTTTTTATAACTTAATGAAATTGAGATATCACATAAATTATATTGCGTGTTATCATTTGGATTTCAAACCATATATTTCTATATTTATCATCTAGTTTTTTTTTCCATTATGACTAATGTAAGTATATATTAGCTGCTTTTTGTGAAATTTCAAAAATATTTAACAGTTTTTTACTTTTGATTTTTCTGAAATGTATCGTAATTTAAAAATTTTAATTAATAAAAGGGAATAAAAATTTATAATCTGAGCGAGTGCCAATTTTAACCGAGAGAAGAAAAAAATTGCTCATGGTAGACAGGTTTGACTGGATGTAAAATATTAATTTTGATAAAACTGAAATTGAACTTGATAAAAAAAGTCAATAAAACTTTATTAAAAGGGTTCATAAAGAAGCGAAGCACAGTCATAAATTTGTAATACATTTTAAACATATATTGTTGTTTCTGGTGGGTTCACATCACATTCACTCAAAAATATTATTGCTCTTGTAATTTTAAATCTTAAGTAAATATTCAAATCAAAAATATCATATAAACGAGATATCGCATTTTCAATAAAATTAATATATATAATGTAATGTATGAATGACCTAAACAAATAATTTTCAAAGTTATTAATTATTTTTGATAACGCTTATTTTATTTTATAGGAATTGGAAAATTTAACTATTCAGAGTATATAATAATTAGAACCTTAGACATTACTCCGAAAGTTACATTTTGCTGCGTACAAATGGTACTAATAATTAGAGCCGTCAACATTACTCGACGTAACATTTCTGTGTATAAATAGTATTTCTGTTACGTTTATGTTTCTTTTTTTAAAAAAAGAAAGTCATGTTACTAATATATCAGGGTAATGCATCCTAAAAAGTTGCACTGAAAATATATTTCTTTAAATATTATTATTAATATTTTAACTGTATTAATATTATTTACTATTTTTTTTATTAGTAATTATTTCTCAAAATTGCTAACTGATAAACAGGATGGTTTGTCTTTCAGGAACATTTAATCTGTACTGAATGCAGGTTTAATAGGTGCTGAGAATGGTAATGGCGTAATATAATAAACAAGATTTTATGTGTGATATTATTTATCTTTATGATCTAAAAATATAAATAGTTCATAGTCTAAGCAGTGATAAGATTCTTCTTTATCAAAAAATATATTGGGAATTAATGCGAGTCTGGCACTAAAAAGATTTGGTTCCCTTTATATCTATTAGAAGCAGATAACATTATTTAGACAGGTTAATAATAAATGTACAATAAATATCACTATCCTTTCAAGTTGATATTAGATAAAATAAACTAATAAAATTATAACCGCTGAATGTTAAATGAGATACGCATACAGTAATTTCCTTTAATAACTAAGATTAATAAAATAAAGTGATTAAAATATAAAAAGTAATGAGCAATGTAGAAAAAGGAACGCGCCACCCTAATTCGATACTTGTTTACAACAGTAATACCCCGGTTGTTTTTAGTGGGGAACTAATGCATTAATATATGGCAGTAATAATCATATTTAAAGAGTTTGTTATAAGTAATTCAGAATAATATACTAATAAGAAGTGATATTGGAATTTCTGGCAGGGGAAGCTTTAAAAATTAAAATAATAAAATATATGTATTCATAATGTTTTATTATAAATGATTTGAAGTTTAATATTGAATTGTAATCAACGTATAAATATTTTTCAATAAATATGATATTCAAAAGTAATTATAATAGGCTCTATTGTTTTTTTTCTTATAACTACTAATCCGTTTAGTCTATAAGATTAACAACTAGCAATAATTTAGAATCTGTTACAATACAACGTGGATTTAGTTTACATTAATTTTTATAAGTCAGAAAAAAATCTGATATTAAAATGTATTCCAGCATGTGTAAAATACCTATCCTATTTTCAGACAATTTATCCCAAGAACTTTGGTTTATAAAAAATTTTATACAAGAATTCATATATATTCAAAAGTTATTGGCAGCTTGGTCTGAAATTTAGTGTATAAGTCTATTGTGTACTCCATGCATGCTGGAATATATTTTTTATAAAATAAGTTTTAATAATCCAGATTTAAAAATCGCCCAAAGTAAATTAGATTGAGGGTGTCTGAATCCCTGTGGATTACATATTCCAATTCGGCATATTTCAGATAAATATAACTTTTTAAAATCTAATTTAGAAACGTCAATTGCTTAAAATTAATAATATCATAAAATAAAAGCTTTAAATTTTAATGGCAATTCTGATATCAAATTAGGGTTGAAAAATGTCTTTCCACAAATAAATTTATAATAACCACTGCATAATTCGATATTATGAGCGTTTGAAATTGATATGTTAATGAGTGATCTGCAGATGTCTAAATTTTAGGGCCGGCTCATATTTGGGAAAAAAAATTTGTTTTTCAGCCAGAATTATTTTGGCAATTTTTCGGCCTGACCGAATTTTTATTTTTGATCGTCCTAAATTTTTAAAATTTTATTATTTTGATAATTTTGGCTGAATCTTGCAAATTGTTTAAAAAGAAAATTGAAAGCGTTATTATTAAGCGAATAACGTTCTATTATTTGATTTTCCAACTAATTGCTATAATTTAAACTCCTTTTTCTAAATCAGCCCAACCCTAATTTTCTATTTTGATATTTTTAAGCCCGAATTTTTAAAAGGTCGCTGATATTAATAAGATATTTAAAAACGTTCAGGGTGAAACGGATCATTTTTTTGGCTATAATTAGAACGTAACGTACCGGGTCCTGGGTATGTAATATAAATTTCTTTAATTTAAAAAATCAATGCATAAAATATTAAAAAATTAATTATGATTATAATAATTTATAGCGTATAAGGTATAAGCCGCTTTTCGTCTAAAGAAAAATAATTTTTAGACGTCTACGTCTTGAAATTTTAAAATAATTAAATATAATTGTCGATATTTTGTGGTTTTATCTTATTCGTATAAAATTAAATTATATTATTGAAAATCTATTATAGGAAAATATTTTCAATAGAAAAGAATTTCTTAGGTTAAATATATATTCTGGGTTCAATAAACAAATGATGAGTTTCGTTCGACAATAATAATTATATAATTAAAAATTCTAATTTACTTGAATTTTGAAACTACTCATATTTTAGAATTTAATCCAAGTTTTTTAGTGATGGCCAATATAATTCTTTAAAAAATATTGCTTCCGATTTTTAGCTATAAAATACAAGTTAATACTAAAAAAGAAACAAAAAAGATTATTATAATTTAATTAAACAAATCTGGAACTAGAATATAATATAATATTTTTTAAAAAAATTATTTTTATTATATTTATTTAGTTATTTTTTAAAAAATAAAAATTTTCAAATTAATTTACATACGTTTATTCAAATTATAAAAAAATTTGCATATTATATAATTCATAAAAAGTTTTCTTTTAAAGAAATTATAATAATTTTAATAGTATATTTAATATAGTTTTGTAATTTTATAACTTTCAAATGTAAAATTAATATAAACAATAATAATAATATAAATATTATTTTGAATAAATAACAAAAATTTATAATGCTATTTTGCCTATCATTCATTATATTATATTAATAATCGAACTGTTGACTTCATTTTAAAAAAAGGTGTTGGTGGGGGACCCTAATACTCTTTTTGATAAATTAACCTATTTTTTAATCCCCATATCTGAATCTCTTAAAATTAAAAGGCCAATAATTGGAACCTCCAAGTATATTTAAGAAATTCTCAGTAATTTTTTAATCAGTATATTTTATTCATTTTATCAGTAAAAAATAAATATTTAAGAAAAATAATAGAATTAAATACGAAATTGCTCTATATTTTTGGATAAGTAAAAATATAAATTTGATCAATAAATATATAATTTGATTGATATAAAATTATATTTTTTGGCAATGCTATTAAAGTAACTATTCAAAGTACTTTCGAGCAGCAGTTGGTAGCTACGCTACTTTTATAAGTAGCTAATTAATACTTTTTCTCAGTATAAGTAGCTAAAATACGCTATAAAATTTTTAATATTTTATAATAATAAATATGTTATTTTTTTTATAGCTTTGAATAAATAAAATGGATATATTTTTAAAAATTTGAATCAGTCTTTTTTACATTCATTTGTTTAAACTTGACAAAATGCACAACAAAATGAGATCATCTCGCGTTTTAAGTATTTTGCTAATATTCATAATTAACTTTTTCAAAATGTCGTTAACAACATTAGGAAATAATAAATGATAGAGGTCATTGAGTGTCATATTCTAAGAGCAGCATTTTTTTCAGATTTCCCATACCAATTGATACTCAACGTCAACTGGTTAGAGATATGAAATTTTCATTATCTCTTAGACAATGTTTGGGTAGGGAAGGTTAAAAGGCTATTGAGATATGGATTTGGTATACTTTACTAATTAAGTTCAAACTTTTTTCTTATACTATAACCAAGTCATTAAAAATAAATTAATGAATATATTTCATTTATTAATCTCTAAACAAGTTTGGTCCATAAGGTTTGCTCAATATGATTTATTATTAAAAGTTATTAATAAAAATCAGTTTTGATCTTTAACCGTCATATTTTAGGATTGAAATTTGAGCCTGACAAAATTAAATGTATATAATGTCAAAGAAGTTCACTTATCTAACTCAAATTAGAATTTGGCGAATTTAACTACTCGGGTATTTTTATTTAACAAATAACTCATACCGAGAGTTTGTAAGTTATTTATTTATTGACAATTTTTTTTCCCCTGATATGATATATGCCATAATGTAATAAATTTATGAATATATAATTGGAAATCATTTGTCATAAAAAGAGGGATCGATTTTTTTCCTAACGATTGAATTCGTCTTTGCAACTCATTTTTAAGCAAACGAATATTGAGTAATCTTAACTTAGGGTTGTATATTATAACCTTGAATGTAATGACGTGTTGGTTCTTATTATTTATATTTAGACGTTTTGAAATCGCTTAAATATAACATTAGGAGGCAGGCGCTAAAAATTAAACTGAGAATGTTTCTGCCCCTCCTCAGTCATGATGCCACTAAATAATGTAAACATTAGTTATTAGATAAAAAATAAAATCTTCTTAAAATATTAAATTTATAGATTTGCATAGAATATATTTTGGTTATAAGGAATTATTTTGAAGGCTATCTTTTTTTGTTTTAACTTTTCGAAGGTTATTTTTTCTTTAAAGCCAAGGCTATCATTCATATCATATAAACTATAATATAATAGGCCACTGATTAATTATGTATCTATACACTTACGTGTATATTCGTGATATCATCAATGATAATATCATCTTATCATCATTTACAGATACATTAAAAAAAAATAAATGTAAAACTTTTTAATGGTCAAGTATAGTGTATATTATACATGTATAAATATAGTACTAATTAATATAATATACCTATGTAATTCCCTATGCTTTTAATTTACTTATATTAAAATAATTAATTTATATTATACAAAATGGTTTCAGGTCTTATAAATATACATAGGTATTGTTTACCCATTGTTGTTTAATTGATTAATGACATTTTAATTATTCATATTCATTATAAAAAAATAAAATAATAACGCACTTAAAATTATGTTATTTTTTTTTTATTTAATTAAAGCAAAATATTAAAAATTAAAACGAAAATCTAAATTTATTTTATGCTTGGATATAGTATATATATATAAATAATATAAATATGATTTCTTTATGTATAATCATTAAAGACTTTAGGTTTATAATAAATAAATTTAATTTATTTTAGTTGTAAAAAAAAAGAAAACAACGTTGGTCCTTCTTATCTCTTTAAATAAAATTTTAATTAAAAAAAGTGTTTAAAATAAATTTAGAAATTAATAATAATTAAATATTTGTTTATCATTATTGATTGATAATTATATATAAGAAAACTAATATAATATACAAAAAAATATAGTTGCATGCAACTTAAACATATTTTCTTAATCAAATTTAGATGTAAAATAAATTTATTAACATTTTTTTACAATTCAATTACACACATATTTTTAAAATAAAACATAATTATAAAATTTTAAAAATATATAATTTTAAATATTCAAAAATCATTCAACTCATTTTTATTCTTCCTCTTAGGAATGCGATTTTTTATCTTTTTTAACTTTTATTCTACTTTTTTTACTACGAGTACGTACTTTTTTACGGCCTTGTGATTTAGATCGCTTCAATTTTAAATTGTAACTTAGTGATTCCGATTTTTCTTTCTTCTCGGATAAATCTTTTAATTTCTTTCTGGCCAACATCATGTTGTCAAACAATATTTTATCGCTAGGGTCTTTTTTATTTCCTTTATGTTTTACTGCTAATGATGGTAAGGGGGGACGAGGGGATACTTTTCTTCTGTCGTAATGAGTTTGCAGAGCTTTTGAGAATTAAAAATTAAATTATAAAACTTTTTCCCAAATAGTTAATAAATAAAAAATATCTATCTGGGTTATTTATATGAAGTCTAAGTAATGGAAGCTAAAAGAAGTGAATAAACCATAAGAAATGTATAGATTAATTGTAAATGAATTTTATTATATATATAATTTATGAATCAGCAAGGTCTCGTCCATTAAGATCATAAAAATGGTTTTCGGCCTACCCTAAACAATTATTTGCCTGACCTGACTCGAAGAAAATTATTGCTTAGCCCTGCTTGGCCTGGCTAGTAAAAAAAGTTTAAAGAAAAAGCAAATAAATTTATATAATTCTAACTTTAAAAATATTTACAAATTCTAGGCCGCCTGCGCAATATTTACGTAATTTATTCTTTTTTATACCCCGTTTTAAATGAAATTAGCTAAGAGAATTAATGATATCCAATTTACGTATCCAACAATTAGTAATTATTATTTTTTACTGTTATATTTATTTGCACCGAAAAATATAAATAAACCTTATTTTTCATAAAAATTTGGGCTTAATAAATTTTATTTTAATTAAACACTATTTTCAAAATTGGTATCTAAAGGGCTTGCTTGTTTTTTTTCTTTCTCCCTAGATTAAACAATCGTTTTTCATGTGGTTTAAGCTATTTACGATAATGTTGATATTTATATATATTAATTATCCTAAACCAGTCAAATATACTAAACAATCAAATATTTCCCATTAATTAAAGAAACCAAAAATAAACAAAGCATATAAAGAAAAATTATATATACTATAGAAACCCCAATTATATTATATATATTATAATTTAAAATTATATGTTCATTTAAGTTATGGCTTACATACACGAGTATGAGCTTTTAGAAGTTAAAGTGGATGTAGCAGACACAGAATTTAAGCTTGATCTATTTCCTAGTTCATCTTCGAATGAATCTTCCATGTATTTTTCAAATTCACTCTCTCGTCCAATTTGAGTTTTTACTTTTGTGCGAACATTTTGTCCATTATTACTAAAATTTTTAGGATTGATCAGATTTTTCCTCAAATCTTTTAACAAAGAGCGAACATTTGATAAATCCTTTTGTGTCTTATCAATTGTTTTGATAAGTTCAATCGTAGGATTCAGGATACTATTTATTTCATAATATTTTCTAGGCTTATCAGGTTTTTTAATATATTGGTCACGCGAGCTGAAAAATGGTGTACCGTAACATGCTACGTGTAAAAAGTTGTATACATCAAGATATATGCTAAAAATAGTTATTTGTTGCAAGGGATAATGACGACATATCGCATTAACGCAGCGCGTCATTTCGGCATACATTTGATCCCATAAATCAACGTACATTATTTTAATAACAATTTTAAAAAAAAATCAATTGTAAATCTTGCAACAATCAACTATTTTAACAAAGTCAAAGTAATTGCAAAAATAATTAAACGAAATTAATTATTATATATTAATTTTTACCCTTTCGATTAATGGATCTTGAAAGAAACCCCGCGAAAAAACATGTCATATAGATCTAGATATCTCATGACATATACTAAATCAACTGTGTGAATCAGGTCTTAGCTTATATAGTATACCAAATTTAATCAATACTCATGGCTGCTTTACTGCTCTAAATTATTGACAGGCAAGCTATAAATATCTATAAATTTTACTGATAGATAGTCATCTCATATATATTAATAATAACATATTTAGTCTTTATACCCGGTTTCAGTAAAATT